CTGCAAATTCCCATCCTCATATTAGGCCCTATTTTGGCACGTCTATCGTTAGTAATTTGCTAAGCAAACTCTACCGTACTGTTTTTCATTTTTAGCTGTCCTTTCCTGGCTGTTTGTTAATCTTTGAACTTATTTAATTGATAAATTCTGATTTAAATTTCAATAAATCTTAATATACTATTTTGCATCAATGCAATGCTTAAAGGAAAGGTAAGTTGAATGTTTTGAAATGCGTAATTGATGCAACCAAAAAATAGGGTCCCCTATATTTTTTGATCACAAAAAGGAAAAAAACTCTATACTAGGTAATAGAAGAGACACAAAAGGAAGAGATTTACTTAGAGATATTAAAACAAACTCTTACATTTCAAATAAAAGTAAGAAGAAGAAATTAAAAGACTACAAACGACGATTTAACAAACTTGAATCGAAATTAAAAGACACCCTAAACTTGCTTCACTTAGAGAAGAGGGATACAGGTGGAGTGGCACTTGCGGAGAGAAGAAAGAGGTTAGAAGCCAAGACGAAAGGTTGGAAAGAGCTCGCAAGATTTCCGGAGGGGATGAGAAAGAAGACGGACAAAGCTCGCAAGCTTTTCCATGAAACCCGCAGGTTTACATTTCCAAAAATCACATATCATTCACCATTTTTAAAACATAACAAGCCCCTCATATTTATAGGTATGAAAGGGGAATACAAAAAGACTTGTCATTGAATTCACACACGAATCCAAGCACACACAAGCATGGAAATCCCCCCATGCATTCACGGAAAACAGCCCAACCCATGAACCGAAGGAGCCACCATGGGAGCCGAAGAGGCCGCACGGAACCAAGGTGCCAAAGCCACGGGAAAACCCCTAGACTCGGAAAACCAGTAGCCGGCCGGAAATCCAAGGGCCATGGCATGGAAAACAACAGCACACCGTGGAAGCCAAGGAGCCACGACATGTGAAACAACACTTCTTGGAATTCCAAATGCCGGTTTGGAATTCCAAGAGACAAACATAATTAAAGACATAAAAACAATAAAAATTACATTTAATAAAAAGATAATTATGAACTAAAATGTTAGCTAATAATGAGATAACCCTTAGTTCAATAAGTGAACTAACGACCAGCTCATAAATGAGCTAAAATTTCAGCTCAATTTTGATTGAACTTGTAAACTCGAGGGAGGCCAAAATTGATTTATTTTGGACATGAGTTGACCCCCCTTTGTCTACATCAATAATTTGCGTGGAAAGTGCCATGACTTGATTAATATGATGTGGAGCTTGTTAAATATTCTAAACATGTATGCATGCTTGTATGGGTGTATGTCATAAGGATTTACATATTTCTTGTTCTTACACATTCATAGGTATATACATGCATGCATATTGTACATAATTTAAATTTAGAGAAACAAAGAATGATATGACCTAAAGTGCTAATATTACAAATAGCTAAAACCTAGTAATGGGGTGCAACTTATTGTAGAGTGCTCATTATTAGAATTGATCTTTCTTTATTAGATTTAAATGAGAATTTGACTTTTAACAAGACACAATGGCGAAAAAGGATTCATGTAGCTGACCCCACGTAATGGGACAAAGGCTTGAGGTTGTTGTTATTGTCTTAGTCATGTTAGTACTAAGAAAAGTTAGGTGTCATGGATATTTTGACCGAAGCACACATGCAAAGCAGGAAGCTATGGCAACTGAAATAATTTATTTTTATTGATCTATCAATGCATATGAACCACTAAAATAATGATTTAAATGAGTTGGGAAGGCACATCACGTTCTAAGCAATATTCATAAAACTCTCTAAACTCCCCTGTGGAAGAAAGCTGTAATAGAAATCTTGGCCTTAGAAAAGAATGGTGCATGGGAAGTTTCTAAACTTCCACTAGAAAAGAAGCTGGTTGGATGTAAATAGATATTTACTGTAAAAATAAAGCATATGAGAGTGTGAATAAACTTAAAATTTGGCTCTTTTCGAAAAGGGTATGCCCAATTTTATGATATTTACCATCATGAATTTTTTTCTTTGGTGTCAAACTCAACACAATTTGAGTTTTGCTTTATACAACGACAAATTTTGGATTGCATCTACATCATTTATATTTTTTTTCTTTATGTGACCGTGAAGAGAGTGTACATTTACATGCCATCTGGATTAAAAAATCAGATAAACACCAATAAGGTATGCAGCCTCAGAATAGCTCAATGTGAACCCAAACAGTCCCATTGTACTATATTTGCATTACTCTTCAAGTATTTTAAAAAGTGTAGGTGTGCTCAATGCCAATTTGACCTTACTCTCTTTATTATTAAACATTCACCTAAAGAAAAAAAATAGTTTACATGGGCGATTTTGATCGTGTATATTGATGGTATTATGTTGTCAGGTTTGACAATGGGCTAACCAGATTAAAATGGTTATGGACGTGAATTTATGATAAAAGACTTGAGAAGTCTAAAATACTTTATTGATATGAAAGTGATATGATCAAAATAAGGTATTGTTATTTTTCAAAGGAAGTATGTTTTTTATTTATTTCAAGAAACATGAATACTTGGATGTAAGCTCGCATAAACTTAAATAGTCCCAACAAAGAAAATTAGGATAGAAACTAACACATCTTTTGATAATGATTGGTATCAATGCCTTGTGGGCAAACTCATCTTTCTTTCACTCACCTTGATATTGGGTTTTCTATTTTCATGAACAACTCTATTGAAGACCACATGGATGTTGTTAATTGTATTATAAGGTATCTTAAGATGACACTATGAGAAGGCTTGTTATAACAAAGGTCATTCAACAAGAAAATCAACATTTCACATATGTTGGTTGGGCTACTCATCATACTGAATAGCCACCTCTAGCTATTGTACTTTTGCAAAAACTTGGTCACATGAAGAAGAAACAATATGCGATCTCAAGAAGCAATGTTAAAGTTGGATAGATAACAGTGACATTTGGTATTTGTGAAGGAATGTGATTAAAAAGATTGTTAGAAGAATTAAACTATCAAAGGAAAAAAATCTCTAGAAGTATACTGTGCAATCGGATTGCCATAAGTTTTGCGAAAAATTCTATCCATTATAGGACTAAATATATTTTGATAGGCTAACATTTCATTTTAGAAAAAAATATAAAATTTTAGTAGCCTAATTAAATTATGCTCCAACAAATTCTCAAACTGTAGATATCATTTCCAAGGCTTTATCTTGAATGAGCTTTGATAATCTAATCAATTAGTTAAGCGTGATCAATATATATAACCCAGCTTGAGGGAGCATGTTGAAATAATCTTGAATTTCTGACTAGCTTCTTTCCATCAATAGCCACCATCCAATTTATGGATAACAAATTTTCATATTCAACAAATTGTGGATAACACTTTTCCATTTGCAACCAGTCATCCATAAATAATAGTATTTCATTTAGGCTGTGTAATCAATTATGAATTCCATAATTAAATCTTGGTTTCTAGATTTGTTTCATTTTTAGATGGTAGTTCTTTCACCTATTTATGTAAAACTTGTCTTTTTGTTTTGATCATTGTTTAAAATTGCACAATATGAGGCTCGCCTTTGCGCAATTCTAGTGAAAAATGCCTCGAGTCTTACGCCTCGAATTTCTTTTATGAGGCTTGCGCCTCAACTTGGTTAAGGCCCGCCTTGAGGCGCTGATGTAGACAAGGAATATAGGGGATCCTATATTTCTTGAACACAAAAGACACACAAGAAGAACACTGACAAAATGAGTAGAACTTAAAACAAACTTTGTTAAATAAACTCAAACGACCCAAAACTTGACAAACACAACAAAATATATATATATATATGTATGTAATATAAACTTACATAAATCCTAAAGTAAAGCCCCGAACAAATCACACTTTATACACACCCTAAGTCATAACAACTTCCTCTCAAATGCCTCAACCTCCAGCCCGTCACCTTTGTCATAGCCGCCGTCAAGGATCACTTGAAAGCCACATACCACCACCACCTATAACAATGTTGAAGTATTAATATCATCTCTATGTTGATGAAAAACATTTATGAAAGAGGAAGATGTCTGAAATAAATGAATAAGAAGCATATTGTGAAGCATTGGACTTTACAGGATGAGACAGGGGAGAGATCAATTTTTTATAATGACGACTCAAATAAAGATCCCCTCAGTTATGACAATATAAATGATTTTCTAGTTGTTGCCAACTTTTCAGCTTTTTTAGAAATTAAATGTAGATGAGTATGGAATTGAGAAAGAAAGAATTTGAAGTTGAACTTAATGTTATATGATACTTTTATTTAGTTTCAATATTTAATAATTTTTTCTCATGAAATATTTGTATTTCAAGTATATTTCATTCAATTTATCAATAGCCACTTTACATCTTGTGCAATTTTTTTGTTTCATATGTCATTGTGTTACTTCATAGATCAATAGAAAAATAATATGTTATCTTTTAACATATTATTTAGGTATTATATAAAAATTTACTTTTAACATTTATTTGCACTCAACACAATTTTTTTATTTTGAGGCTCAAGCCTCAAAACGCCTTGAGGCTTACGCCTCGCCTCACGAACAAAAAATGCCTCAATACCTAATTACGCAATTTTAAACATTGGTTTTGATATGGAACAAAGGGATAAACTTTGGTCATTAAATCTTCTGTTTTTAGCTGCTCTCTTCTCATTCTAATTTTTAAGAATTATAGATGCATTATTTCCAATAGATACAAAATTGGAAGGGAACAACAAAAATGTCCTTTTATGATTCGTAGGGTTATAAATATCATGGGGAACACCCTCCCTCAGGCCATGCCTTTGCTCCCATGTGTGTAATTCATCTTGATTGGTTAACATTGTTTCTTAAACACTTCATAATTATTAATTTTGTTATGTTAATCTAATTTCGTTGCTGTTAATATATTTTCTATGGATTTTATGCTTATATACCAATACACGTTTCTTATGTGCTCCTCTGATTTAGAGAGATGATATTGACGTACTTGATGAACCCCTCTACGCGAATTTTCTGAGGATTACTGGTTTTGAAAGGCCATACCGTGATGAGCTTCTTTCCAAAATGGTAATTTCAGTTTGTGAAAAATTTTCTTGCTAGGAATTCTCTTCCCGTTATATATTATTTTTTATGATACTTATGGAGAACTATAAATACCACAATATTTAGTGGAGTTGTCCCGATTAACTTGATGGGTGATGCCAGAGTTTTGCTGCAAAATTCTTACGCTGATAAAAGAGTTTTTTTTTTTCTTTGAAAAAGCTTTGGACGTTGATGCGTAGTTCTAATTGGTGATCTAATGGTTCTTAATGTTAGAAACAGGCGGTAAGGCTTTCCTGTTGGAGCATTGACTCACTTTAAATGCAATGCCTTGCTGATGATGCTTGAGAAATGTTATCTTATATTTCTCTTGTCTGCATTTATCTTGATTTTGTTTTTGAAAATGTTATTTTTGTTGTTATTTCCTAAGCTAAAATCCATTAGCAGAGTTCTGATGGAAATAAAGTTGTCAAGGATGTCATTTTTGGTCCAATGGAGAAAAAATACCGTTACTGTAAGGTAGTGCATTTGTTTTTGACCGTTAGAAACATTCATGATGGTTAGTATAGAATTCATGAACATGCTCAATTTCCCTTTTCTTTTATCCAGCATATGGCAAAACAGCGACTCCCAAACATAACGGATGATTTGATGAAGAGAGGGAAGCACTTTATACTGATAAGGAACCCCCTTAATATCTTGGTAAATATGCCTTGTTTGAAAGTTTAGATTTCAATTAATTAATGCCCAGCTCACCTATATAATCACCATGTATATTTAATAATGCAGCTAAATATACAATGTATCTTCATTGTTTCTTGAGGAAATTTGGCAAATCTATGAAGTTGCACTTAATATGCTTCACAGTTGTTTTCTCATCTCGACTTGCCAAACTGGCTTCTGAAATTTGTCAGCATAACTAGGCAGGGTGACTTTTTTTTAATTTGCAATTGATATGTGCAACATGCCAGTCACAAAATACGTCTATATACACCGAAAACAATATCATTGATGCAATTAGTCCTCAGCTTCTATTTAGTTTATCCACCAAAATAAATAATATACTAATTTTTGAAGCCACATAATGAGGCCAATGTCAAACTACTATGAAATAAGCATAGAATCAAATGTAAAATAAAATGCAAAAAGTTGAATTTAGTTCCATTACTTAGGAGATTAGTGCTCACAAACTACCACCCACCATTGTGGCTCAAAACTGAAAAACAGAATGAAAAGCATGAGTTCCCAGCTGAGGAGGCATATCCATAGTATAATAGTTAAGTGACTAATAATTTGTCACATGCATATCTTCTACATTAATTGATATTTGATAATAATCATGAACTAAGCATCGGCAATGAAAACACATACAATCATAGTTATCAGAATAGGCATGCCAGAGTGTAAAAGCACACCAAAAAAACATTTGTAATTTGATGTTTTCAACTAGCTTTAAAACTATTCCAAATACATTTTTGGTACCTTGGGTGTTATTTTTCCTTTTAATGCTTTTTTACTGAAAGTTTCCTGGTGAGTGCTACTATGTTCAGTTTTACCTTAAATTTGTTGGTGCTACATAAGCTTCTACAGCCATCAATTGCTGATTTTTTTCTTTTTTTTGTCTTATCAGCCATCATTTGATAAAGTTTCTCCACCATCATTCGTTGAGCTGGGATTGGGTGATCTTGTCTCTATATATAATGAACTATATGAACTTGGAAATCCTCCACCTGTCATAGATGCAGAAGATTTAAAAAATGATCCCGAGGTTAGATAATTGAATTTTTGCTTCTCTGATTAACATATGTTTTCTCTTTTGCGCTTTCTGCAGAAAATCATGATCTTTTGAAATGGGCTACTTCTCGTACAGTTATTGTTTCCAGTGAACCAAATTCATTATAAAACATTGGTTTCTTTGCCATGACTATTGTGAAATTTCATTCATTATGCTGTGTACGGTTGCAAATCACATATTGATTTTCTTGTCATAATGTTTGGTTAGCATGAAGTTCTTGATTGATTGTTATATGAAAATGGCCTTGAAGGGCTCAACAATTAAAAAAAGGTGTTATTGGGGTTTTTTTTAATGTTGAGTTTTTCTTTAACTAGCCATGTTTTTGTATTTTTGTGTAATCTTATTGACAGCCTTTCTTGTTGCAGGTTAATGTGGTAGTAGCTTTCTTAAGTTTTTTTATGTACTTGATTTTTCTAATTTTCTCGTATCTTCAATTGCACTAAATAAGATTGCTGACTTAGGGAGTAAGTTATTATTTCTTTACCAAAGAAATACATTTGTGGCTTCTCCCGAAATGATGAAAAGTGGGCAGCTAGACTACTGTTTTCAACCATAGTTTCTTAACAAAATGAGAACTGGACATTTGCTATAAAATTTTTTTTCAGTCCATCATATTCGCCAAATCTTTGTTCTCTTTCTTTAATTTTTAGATTGCTTGTCACTGTTAGCCTTTATTTGATTTGTTTGATTTATAGCATCATTAATTTATTAAATTTATTTATGTTATTGTCTTCTTGTTAGTTTATATTGTTTGACTTTGTGCATGCAATTAATTATTATATTCGTGTTCCATTCTTTGATTTAATATCATGAAATATTTGTTTTTCTTATTTCTCTACTATATAATTATTATTTTTAGAGATTTAAAAACTGGACCGGAATGTCCAGTTTTGAAATGCTCGATCGGATTATTGGCGACGAATGGGTGTCAATTTCTTAAAATTGGTCGGTTCAATTGCTACCCCATTAAACAATTAGTTACATTAATTTAATAAGTTTAGTATAAAATATTTAGCTTAAAACAAGTTCATTTAATTAAACATGTTTTCATTTATAATGAGCATTAAATTTCCACAATAATGCTTTGTCAAAAGTGCCAAATCAAGTACATTGCTCTAGCACCCTTTGAGAGTTCCTAGCACATGCATTGGAAATAAAAAATGCTATATAAATAATACTAAGATAAAATTTTCAATTGATATGGGACTAAATAATTATGTTAAAGTTCTTAAGTTCACAAACATGCACTAAATATTTTTAAACTAATTTATTAATTAATTTTTTTAATATGAGTAAAATTTATTTTTTTAGTTAATAATATTTAATTTTTTATCTGTTTAAATTATTTATTTACTTAATTATATATTATACAATAATAACAACATCAAGCATTTATCTTTGTGATGACCAGTTCATTCGGCCTGTTCGGTTGAACCGGCTGGCCCCCTCCCTATTAAATCGCGAACCAAAGAGGGATCGTGAAACCCCTATTTTGAGAACAGAAGAGGGCGGACAGTCGAGGGCTTCGTGCGAGAGCGAGGTAAGTTCCATTTTTTCAATTTTAGCAAATGATTCCTCCGAGGATAAGAATTAACCATTCCTTTTCATTCTTATCATTAAGGAAGTGCTAAATTGGGAGAAATTTCAATGAATGAGAGGAACGACTGAGAGGAAGAAAGAGAAGAAGGTTTGTTTTTAATTCTTTATTTATGTATAAATCTTTCCCTAATTTTTCATCTAAACAATCATTAAAATAATGAGGGTGTTTCATTAAGGGCAAAGGAAGAGATTTGAAGAATTCGGGAAAGGAAGGAGATGGATTTTGAGTTGGAATAATCTTCTTTTTGTAAGTGATTTTCTTATCATATGTCTTATGTTAGATTTTGTAGAATAAATTCTTAAAATTTATTTTATGGCAATTTTAGAAGGAAAGGAAGAAATCAAAAATTTGAGGGAGTGTGACTCAACAAATAAGAAAGATTTTTGGAGGTAAAAGACACGAGTTAAGAATTTTATATCTTATCTATTTTGGAGAAATTCTTAATTTTAATATTGATGGATTAGAAAGAATTTGACTAACCTTGTCTGCTAGGTGAAGAATCGACATTAATAAGAGAATTTTCGGAAAAGTTTGTTGCAAGAGTTGAAAGTTGGAAAGTATTGAAGCTAAAACATTCAAGTGGGTAATTATAATTATGAAATTCAATATTTTGTATTATTCTTTCAAATATGATATAATGTTTTGTATTATAATAGTGCTTTCAAGGTTTTATTTTTAAAGACTATTATGTGTGAAATATTGGAAGTTTAAATGCATAAATAAATGTAAATATTATTACGACAGAAAATAAAAGGATCAAATAATATGAATAAAATTATGTATATGAATGAAAAAAAAAATATTATATGATACATGTATGTATTAAGGAAATATGTAAACTAAGAAATGACATATGAAAAATGAATAAAAAAGGTTCAAAATAAATGGAAAAGAAAGGGAAATGAATGTATGAAAACTACAAGAGTTCACCCCCTTATGGTACTGTCTGGGGACGTCATACTTGTGCACGTAAAAAGGAAAATATCATGGAAATGGAAAAGGAAAAATGGAGAAGGTTATACCTTTGGGTACATTGAGACGGTGCTTCTGTACGAATTAATTGGGAAAATGAAATATGAAAGTTTTAAAATGTTTTAAAATATTTTAAAGGAAAATGATAGGATATGTATAAATTACTCAAATGAATGAAATAAAATTAAGAAATGATTATATGCATATTAAAGATTATAAGTGTATTGTAAATAAAGAATATTCATATTGATTGTTTTAACAGTTACCTACTGAGTTTACCTCGTAAACTCATTTCATCAACTAATATTTTCATGTAAGATTTCAAGTTCTTGGAATGGCTGATAGGGAAGAATATGTTTATAGAAGACGACGTGCAAATGACGACATGTAAAATAATTGATGAAAATGATTAGTATTGACATTGAGTGATTCTAGTTTCATTTGTGAGTCGTGGCTCTTCATTTAATTGAAAAGTTTATGTTTATGAATTATTATTATGTTGATGGAAATGTAATATCGTCCGACTTTTTGTTCTCACCTCGTTAGATCGAGCATCCGGGCCAGGTCGTGACAATCTCACTTCGTGGGGTCAGGTACAAGAATCATTTTTCCCCGTTATGTCATATTAAGAGTATGATTTTCATTTAAATCTAATAAAAAAGTCATTTTTAATTATTTACTATATAAGATTAATTTTTATGTACTTATTAATTATAAATGATCTATATGTGCAAATTTATAATGTAAATTTATATATGATCTATAAGTGTAAATTTATATTTAAACATAAGATAAGTTAGCAATGATTTATATTAATTATAAGCTTACATGTGAACCAAATTTATATTAAATGTGAGCTAAATCTTAGGATTGAGGTGTTTAAATTTAGAATTATCAAAGATATTTTTTGCATTTTTGCATCATTATTTCATCATTTAGATCATATTTACTTATTTTTAATATTTATTACATTATTCAATTCAATTGTTGTTCAACTCTGGTCAAATCATTGAACCTTAGACCTCTTATTTTCTAGTTTTATGTCCGGTCCGGTTTTCACAATCTTTGTTATTTTTTAAGACTACTTATTATTGAATATTTTGCCATTTTATTTTAGTTAACCCCAAATTATAGTTGGGTATACTAGTAATGATGATTTATATTGTTCTACTCTTTATGTACTACTTTTTATTTTGATTATGCTTGATAATGATATTTTGTTATAAAAAATGTGACATCCTTAACTTTCTTTTTTAATGGCCCAACATTTTGAAAACATGAATGTCTTGCTTGATCATGTGCGGTGAAACAAAAAAGGAGAAGACCATTATGGACATTTTTTATTAATATTTTGATTGTTAAGAAGAGAAGAATTTAGTATAGGTGAATCGAAGAGATGGGAGAAAAAAATTGAGAAGGTTAGAGGAAATATGATTTCAAAGGAAGGGAGAATGTGGTGGAGAGAGCAATGCATGAGAAAATTCTAGAATGGAGAATCAATCGTGAGAGGGCATGCCAGAAGTAAATTCTTTCTATATTCCATCATCAGTTATCTGAATTACAACGTAAGGCCTACAATTTATTATAGGATTAATAAATTTATATAGTTTCTTATCCTATTAAAATTAAATAATGTTAAGCATATCTTAAATAACAAATGGTAATTTTACCCTTCAATCAAAATGACAAATAAGGACAAACAACATAAACTAAATAATTAACTATTTTGATACAAATAAAATTCAATATTAATAATTGATATTGTAAGCATCTTGCATTGCATTAATTTTTCTGGAGTAAATGAAACTTTACTTCAAAGAATTGAAAGGTTGTTAGATGGAGAAGTAGAGATAATTGAATATAATTGTGCTAGGGAAATTCATTCCATAGAAGATAGAAGAATGAAATTCTTCCTAAAGAAAATGTGCCAAATTGGAAATCTATCTCGACTAGGAAGAGATGGGGAAGAACAATCAACAGTATTAGCAAAAGCGCTTCATTAATCTTTAAGAAAATTTTTGCTAGTTTAGAAGTCATTATGCATACCACTAGGTTGATTTGGCTGAAAATTTTGTAGCATGAACTTGATTTTTTAAAGAGGGGGTTTGGCACGAGATGTTGGTTGAGTGTGAGGTTTGCATGACAAGCACAAATGCATGGATGGATGTAAGTTGAGTTTGTGTCACAAAATGTGGGTCAAGTGCGGGTTTGTGTTGTGAACATGTGCGATGTGATGGGTTGTTGCTTGTAGGATTAGTGAAGCATGATGAGAAGTTGTTTGAGAGATGGGCTTGTGAAATGCATTATAGGTTTATGAATATGAAGCATTGGCATGTGCGTAGGATTTGAATTGAAATGGAGAACATGGATGGGATGCAATGAATGTATGTGATGTCCTAAA